GCCGCCTGAAAACCCGAATTGTGGGTGTTGCCCCCACACAAAAAAACCCACAAACTCTCTCCCTGGGGCTCCCCCCCCCCTACCACCAAGAAAGACCCCCCCCCCCCCCCCCCCCCGCCACCAATTAAAATACCCTAAACAACAGAACAGAAGGAGACAGAGAAGAAGGCAAAATTGTCTAAATCTCTCAAGGGGAGCATTAAGAGTGTCCAGAAACACATGGACCTTCCACTGGCTACTGGCCTCCTGTGTGCTATAGACACAGTGCCACCACAAGAACAGAGTCACTCTTCTTCTCCAACACAGAAGCAAACACAGGAGCCTCTCTCCCAACCCTTGAAAAACACTTTGGTTTCAGAAGAGGTGATTCATGATCCATCTCCAGTTCCTCTCCAAGAACTAGACCATCCTTTGGTATGGAGGCAAGCCTTGCCAGTACATTCAATCCTGAGTGTCTTCCTTCAGTCAGAACAACATAGATACCACCTTCATTCTTGCTGTCGACCACCTGAGGCTTCACATAAAAGACACCAAACTCCCCTGCGACACCAAGGGAACTTCAATACCAACTATTATGTAGAACAATGAGGTCCCATCAACTCCAGACACAAAGGCTCCCATTGGAGTCCATCAGGATCAAATCAACATTCTCTACTGGAACCTAGCCTCACTGCTCCTTTTTCTGAGCCTATACTCAAATCGACCCATGCAAATCTTCTTTGTGAAAGGCAGCCTCCCTCTAGTTTGCAACATCTGTTGACCACATTGACCAAACTGAACATCATTCAGAGCAAGAACATTACACTTCAATCTCTGCCATCTCCTCTCCAAACCAACATTCAGATTTGTCATTTCATGCATTGGTACTGACCCTATATTTCCCTCAGGCACCAGAGGACTCGGGCTTTTTTTCTACCCAAGTTCTATGCATGGCTCACAGTCTCAGGCTCATCCCCAGACAGGAACCCACCAGGGCAAAGAACCCAGTCTTTGAAGCTGTCCATGCAGAGTCAGGTGGTCCAGGCACTCTTTCATTTTTACCTACCCTGCTCGATGCAGTATACCATGAATGGAAATCCCTTGCATCGGTGGCCCCTCCAACTCATCGACTCAAAAATATGTATCGAGTTCAAGAGAAGGTTGCTGAATTTCTTTTTCAACACCCTCAACCTAATTATTGTTGAATCTTCTCAAACTCATTCTAGAAGGAAACATGCCATACCATCAGACAAGGAAGGCAGGCACCTCAGTGCTGTTAACCGCTGCTTCTATTCCTCTGCTGCCTTCTCTATAAAGATGGCTAACTAGCAGGCCACCATGGCTAGATACCACCTTATGCTTTGGGATAGAATCTCATCCCTATGCATTTCTTTACCTAAAGGTGCTCAGGACCTAGCTAATGGAATTAAGAATGAAGCCATTCACCTGGCCAGACAAGCGATCCACACAGCTCGACTCCAGGCTGAATGTGGAGCAAGAAATATGGCAGGGGCAATAGGGCTTTGTTGCTTCTCCTGGCTTCAATCTTCTGGTCTCTCTGATGAGGCAAAAATGAGACAGAGGCCTCCATCCTTTTTAGGGACCGTAGCGTATCTGGAATAAAAATCAGGAGTACTAGGTGGTACACATTCTATAGCTCCCTTCTGGAATAAGGTGATTTCATCTAGGGGAGGGGTGGATGAGCTAGTTTGCTTCAGTACTGTGAAGTGAGGGCCTCTGTCCTATCCTTGATATCATCTCCCTCAATAAACATACAAAACTCTCTAAAAACCATCCTTCCACTACTTTCTCAAGGTGTATGGTTCACATCTGTTGACCTTAAAGATGCATATTTTCATATTGCAGTTGAGGAGTTTTACATGCATTTCCTCTGCTTTCAGGCACATGAACAACCCTTTCAATTTACCATTCTCCCTTTTGGCTTAGTAACAGCATCTCACATATTAACGAAATGCATGGCTGTCAGTTGTGCCTATCTTCGTCTAAATGGTATCCATGTATACCCTTACTTAGACTCCACAGTGGTGGTGGCCTGCAACAGCTGCATATTAGTAGCCCTGTTAGAAGAAAAAGTGAGAGCACTGGAGCAGCAAGTGTCAACCTTCCAGATAACTAAAGAAAATAAAGGGTTTTTAGACAGAGCAGAGGAGCTGCAATGGCAAAATGTAGTACAGAAGCAAGAAGAGCATCAGCAAACTGAGGCAGCATAGGAGAACCCTGAGGGAAGGGAAAAAATGAACAGGGTGACAGTTTAGATGCAGAAAACTTAGAAAACACTTTACACCCATGGAAGCATTGGAACTCTTGAACCACTTTAAGTTACATAAAGGAATGTGTGAAAAACCCACTGTGAAAGAACTACACTACACACTGCAACTCTGAAACTGTCATTCTTTGAGTGGTCATTTATGCAAGCACACAAACCTGCCTGCCATTCCATCTTGGTGTTGCCCTATGTGTACCAGCTGCTCTCTGAAATGGACAGAGGAGCACAATCTTGGTCTCATTGCTTCAGAACTGAGGACCAGGTATGAGCCCCTCCATCATGCCAGGGCATGCCCAGGGGAGGGGATCCAGCCAGATACTAATTAATCAGCTCTGGAATCTTCCCTAACTGGCTCCACACATGTCGCAGAGCCCATGTGTGTGAATGCAGAGTTGACTGTGCAGAAAATGACAGTTACAGGTAAGTAACCTGCCTTTCCTTAATGTCTTCTGTTAATGACTTCTGCAATACTCCCTTGCAGACCAGCCTAGCTAGCCTGCTTTAACACTATAAAGATTGTATCTATTAGCCTCTGGTCTTGATTTGCTTGTGGGAGGTGGGCAGGAATGGTCTCTAACAGATTGATTCCAAACGGAATCTTTCTTCTCCCTTGCCAAAAAAAAAGAAAACTCCACCTTCAGGGTGGCTTTCACTGCCTGTGGTCTAGACAGTGAAAATGCCACTGTCAATTGGTCTGATCTTTTGTTCTGAGGCTGGGCAATGTGACTGATTAAATTACACCCCTCTTCCTTGGCTTCTGATTGTTCAACGGTGTCTCTCCCCACTCTGCCCCCCCCCATCCCGTGCCCCAAACTAAGGGTGGTTGAGTTCTCACCAGCTGCTTGGCCTTGGCATTCAGCTAAAAATTCTGGCCCTGCCTCTTCCAGTTCTAATTCAGATTCTGAGGTAACAAACATGGAATGCTGTACTTCAAGAGAAGCAGGCCCAGTCCTTACAGCTGTGTAGGTTTAACGTTTGGAATGCAGTGATTGATGGATTGGCAAGCTGCCTTAACAAACAGTGGACAGTGTAAGAAAACAGCATTATTCCATCTCTGTAATATATTAATATGCATTAGGACAAAAATATTACGGAGTTAAAATAATCTAGATTTATTGGGAATAAGTAAGATACAGTGTTGTTTAAGCTGTGTAATTCGTTCCAGAAATGTTCTGTGCCTATCCATGTATAAAAACATTATGAAGTGCTTGCTATAGATTAAGATATTTGTCCTTTCAAAAATGAAAGACTAACATGTTGTAAAAAGTGTTTGATTGTTTATATCTCCTCCCCTCTTCCCTTTTAACTTTTAGGATCTGCTCTTTGGCAGTTAATTGCATCATTCTTGAAGCTCCCCATATCTGGAACTCATTGCATTGTAGGTGCCACCATTGGATTCTCATTAGTTGCAATTGGTACAAAAGGAGTCCAGTGGATGGAACTTGTAAAGATTGGTAATTATCGTTTTCTTTTATATATAGAGAGATGTGCACAAATGCTCATTGATTGGAAAGAACATTCTAGAAACACAATCTTATAATGTAATTATGTTTATTCAATAACTGCTTTAGATAAACTTGGAAATCAGTGGTTTGCAATCCTAGTTTCAAGAGCTTCCTCAAATCATAGTTCTCCAATTCAGATATAACAGCATAGTATGGTTTGATTAGACACAAATGTGATGCATTAAGTTTTGCAGGAGGGTAAAATGTGAATTGAAAAGGAATGCTTGAGTCCATGGCAATCTGTGTTCCAAGCCTGTTTGATTATACACTTTCAGAACTAGGGTATACACATTATAACTAGAAGTAATAAACTATGGCTCAGTTCGGTTGTCATAGAATCTGATTTTTAAATTAGGTTTTGGAGATGTCCATACCTCTTCCCATAGATACACTTAATTCAAAGGATGATTTCTGAATTGCAACTTAACTTCAGGCTATGCTTTTCAGTAATGGTTTCTAAGCAAGCTTTTTTCTTTTAATTTATTATAACATTTCACCAAAACAAAATAATAAAAAGAGAAAAGAATTGTAATAGCACAGATTGACAATATCAGTTTCAGTATATGTATTTGAAGAGTGATTGGTGGTAGGGAGAAAAATACAGCTTTTTAAGAATTACTTATACATTTCAGCAAAAGCAAACCAAATATCCACATCTGTATGCATTTGCAAGTGGTCTCTGTATACTGTCCATTCAAACGTTGAAAGCATTTTTATATTCTCAATATGCTACATTATAGGAAGAAGCATTTATCCCTCAAATGGGTGTATTTGCACAGCATAGGAACTTGTTTACAAATTAGCTACCTGCTCTGGGTTGTTCTTGGACCAACCTATGATAAGCTGGACAGATGATTAGGTTTGCAGTGGGTTGTGCCCATCATTTCTCCATAGTCGTCTTCCATCTGAAACTGCTTTTCTCTTCTCGCTACTCTGTTTGTGCCCTATTTGCAGTTACTGCTGCAGCTTTCCCCAACTTTTGCAATATTTTCATACTCTCTGCAAGGTGACAGCCACTCTCTCCATCATGGGATGGAGCAAATGGGTGTTGGCACCAGCATGACTTAAATTAATCACCCTCAGTGATCTCTGTAAAAAATAAAGGCAGCAGCGTGGGGGCAGAACCTAAGACGAATATAAGAATAACCATGCTGAATCTGGCCAATGGCCCATCCAGTCCTGCACTGTATTCACATGAGCAGAAAAGTCCTTGTGATTGCAGTAGGGACAAAGGACAGGCCAGTTTCAGCTGCCAAGTCCCTTGGGATACCTTCTGGGGTTCCAAGGGGAAAGAAGGAAGAACAACCCATAGTGATTTTGATCATCTTTTGGGTACACTGTAGATTGTTTCATCTTATTTACTGTGCCATGCAAGTCAGCATCTCCACTCAAAATTAATTCATACTTTGACCATTTAATTGTATAACCACACAAATCATCAAAAGCAGCATTTTAAATGTTAATACTATGGAATTTTATTTGGCCAGGGCGGCTTATTTTATTCTAATGTATATATTTTAATTGTTATTGTCTTAATTTATTGTGTATTTTATTCTATGCTGTGAGCCGCCCTGAGGCTTCGGCAAGGGGCGGCATAGAAATGTTTTAATAAATAAATGAATGAATGAATGAATGTACTTAGTATTCCAGACCAAAACTGGAACAGATTATTGGTGTTTCAAGTTAAATATTAAAAGACCATCCACTCAATTTTAAACAATCGTGCATGAAGGCACAGATACTAATATTCTAATAGCACATACTAGGGGGTTCCAAACATAAATCAGATACCAGTGAACAAAGTGGATATCCCTGTCTGGTACTTCTCCCAAAGTTGAAAAAAAAGTCAAGAAGGTGCCATTGGTCATAATTCTGAACTCATAACTTGGTTCTTGGGATTGAATTTAAAATTCAGACCCACTTCTAAAATTCTGTGGGAAAGCTGAAATATTCAAAATAGCAAATATAAATTTCGTTTCAACATAGCAAATATAAATCCAGAACAGGATTAACAGCCTAGTCTGTTTTATCAGTATTGAAAACTATCAGTCAGGAGTGGTTTAAGATTATCAGCCACTTCTCTATGCTTAATAAATCACACCTGATCAGCTTAAACCAGTATTATAATATTAGTGCAAAATACTGGCCAGAATTGCAGTTAATATTTTAATATCAAGACTAATTAAAAGAATAGTGTTCCTTTTCATAAGTGTCATCCTTACCATAATTGGTAATCATTGTAATATAAGCATAATTCATTGATACAGCAAGGAAACCCAGTTCAAATAGCTTTGGAATTAACAGGTTGGAAGATACCCCATGATTGGAGACCTGGTCTGACCAGTTGACATCTCAGTATTCATATTCATAATTGCCTTAGTAGAAAAAGAAGCTGAGAAAAAGAGGCATCCATGTCCTGCTGTAATAGTTCACTACTTATACAATTGAGAATAGAATTTTAAATACTGTGAGAGGCATACATAATACTGTTCTCACTTTCATTACCTGAAATGACACGTAGATATTTTTGCTCTTTAAGATGGTGTGCCAGAGTCTTACCAGGATGTTCAGCATTTTCCTAATGTATTTATTCAGACAATTCTGATTAGCTGTCATCATTCATTGTTGTTTCATGCTATCAAGTTATCTCCAACTTATGGCAGCCCTATGTGTGAAGTCCCTCCAGAATGTCTTGTCTCAATAGCTCTGCTCAGAAAACTAACTGAAGTTAACTGCAATTTAGACATTATTGCAAATTATGAAAACAATCTAGAATAGTTTGGAAATTCATCAGTTTCCATGTCTGAATTAAGCCATTGTATGCCTGTAAATACTGACTTGGGGATATCATTCATAATTATGTTTGCCCTGCTTATGGAATAATAAGGCTTCAGAGAACCACCTTTGACCAGTGTCCCACTCTGGGCTCAAAGTTTATGGTGACTTCCCAAACTGAGAACCAGATCTTTTTCAAATACAGTGTATTTGTGCTGAAAAGATAAAGACAGAAATCTGATGTGATAGCTGAAGATCTGCACATTTTTCTTGGTGGATGTCCAGCAAAAGGTAGGTTAGGATCCATCCTTCAGAAGTACTGTGAATTGCTCTGTCTCTGAAACTAATAAAGCTTGTAGAGAATTAGATAGTGTTAGATGGGCATCGAGTGGGGGGGGGGGTCCCCACTGCATTCTATGGATTCTTTTAATAGTCATGCAGAACAGTATTGCCTTTAAAGACTTCATTGATTAGAGCTTGCATAATTTCCTAGTGTTGCTTAGAGGTTTCAGAAGAACTCTGCAGAGATTTAAACCTTGATACTTACTATGAGTATCAGTGTAACTATTTCCATGGACAGTATTATCTACACATGGTCCCAGCAATGGTCTGAATGTTTTTCCCATTCTGTTGAGCTTTTGCACAATTATTTCAAAGTAAAAATTTATGTGGAATAATCAAACTGAAATTAAGCACTTTGGATCCCCACTAATTTCTGCACAAGTGATACAGATGCATACTTAGTGCTCTCACTGATATCAATGGGACTTAAATATTCTTCAGCTGAATTGTGCCAAACTTAGGGGGGAAAAGCCTTAACCCACTTCCTGCAGTCTAGATTAAAACAACAGCAAAGTTCATTGTCAAAAGATGGGATTCCTTTATTGGGGTAGGATTTTGCCACTTACTGAACATTTTATCCATTTTTTTATTCAGTTGCTTCTTGGTTTATCTCCCCTCTGTTGTCTGGTATGATGTCTGGTGTGCTGTTTCTGCTGATTAGATTCTTCATCTTAAACAAGGTTAGTGGCTGAACTGGCAGTCCCTGTTCTTGCTGGTGGGATTGTAGCATGTGGGACAAATGTAACATTCTTCTCCCCTTAATCACCAGAGTTATCACCCACACAGTCATAATCCATTCCAAAAGTTGTCATATCTGTTTCCATTTATGCAAATATTATATTTATATCCCACCTCTTTCCATTCCAAGAACTCAATATGACTCACATAATACGCCTCTTAATCTTACCCTCACAACAACAAACCTGTGGGGAGGTCAGGCTGGGAGTCTGTGACTGGCCCAAAATCACCCAGTGAGCTCAATGGCTGAGTGGAAATTAGATTACCTGAGTCCCAGTTCTGCACTCTTAGCCACTATACCACACTGACTCTCATAATAGATTCATAATTTATATTTTTTAGCTTTAAAAATGTCACAAAACTCTTATTTTTACTGAACAAACAACAGAGTACTCCTTGGGAAATTGCTAGATAAACTATGGCTCATTATGACAGGAATGAACCACAACAAGACTCATGCTTGAATGCTCCCCCTTCACCCTATGGTTTTGGTGGTAGTACAAAAGTGCAGTTAATAAAAACAGAAGCTAAAAGTTTCTTCCTGATCTTGAGGTGCCTCTGGAAGATGAGAAGGGAGTTTATATCGGTTTTGAATACAACAAATACTGCTTTCAAAATGTGCTAGGCTCACAAAATGTATTTCCTGTTCTATAACAAGAATTTACAGTTTTTTCCATATAATTTTGCCATGAAAATTAATGGATTGCAATGTGAAATTTAAAAAAAGAACATTCTGTAATTGTTTGTAAGATATTGGAATGAGGTGATATCCTGGCAGCCCATGTTAGCCTGAGGGGAAACAAAAAAAGGGGGGGGGGAATAAGAATAGAGGTGGTCCATGTAGGAATACCAGAAGTTTCCAAAGACAAAGCATTTGAAAAAGCATCATTTCTTTGATCTTCTACTTCTTTCTGCAGTTACAAGTTAAGGAATAACAAGCATAGACTTGTATTTTGCTCTGAAGTAGGTGCTTTTGTATTTGTCATTACTGTCTCTCTTATCATGAAGAATCAGCTGAAGCTGTCTTTTGTAGTTCATGAAGAATCAAATGAAGCTGCCTTTTGTGGTTCTTAAAATTAACTCATCCAGCTGTTCATTGTGTTGTCATTCTGTTCGAATTTGTGACTACAAAGGTTCATTACAAAATTAAGAAGCCAACATTTTCCTTTCATTTAGTGTGACCTTTGTGTGTGACCAGGCTGAAGTAACTTCCTCACTGAAGTGTGAGCAACATTTTTTGATGTTGACTATATATGTTGCAATACCCCCAGAGTTCTAATATTCATCCTATGTCTTCATTATGCAGGAAGACCCTGTACCTAATGGTCTCCGTGCTCTTCCAGTATTCTATGCTGCTACAATAACAATTAATATGTTTTCCATAATGTACACTGGTGCCCCAGGTGAGTAGTACCTGACATAACAAGTTTATTATGGAAGCACTATATTGGCCTACTGACACATACCAAATACTTTCCATTCTGTATACTTGGGAATAGATGAAGCACAGTAAAGAGGATGTAAATGCTGCAATAGACACCTTGCTTAGGAATATTGTAAAAGTGGGAACTCACACAGAGTAGTTCATGGAAAAGCAAGAGAAGTTCTTCATAGTCTCTGTGCATCATACTTATGGGATCTCCATCTGCATGGAGCCTGTTACCAGAGACTATATGTGTGAATGCACAGATGACAACTCAAAGAACAACATTTACAGGTAAGCAACCTGACTTTGTTGTGTGTTCTAGCTATCCTAGGCCTCTTAGGACAATGTATGGGCCACTTTACTATGGCTTGCTTATTCCCTGGTGCATTATGGTGCATTCCAGCAGCCATTTTAAATATTCAAGCCATGGTGTGCAATTCTGTGGTTGTCCGAATAGTACAAATTGGAGCTGAACAACTCTCATATAATCTATGGATTGTTTTAGGGTTGTGCAAGCCACCATTGCTCGATTTAACACATCATAAACCACAGTGACTGCCTACTGCAGCTTGAATATTCACAGTGGTGGCTGGTATATGTTGCAGCTCCATGGTGCATATGGTACAAATCAAGTCACTATGTAGAGGTAAACCCAGGTTTACTATCAACATGGAATTGTAACAGTTCGCAACTCTTTGATAAGTGTTCTAGTATAGTGTAAACATGTTTGTCACATTTTTATCTGAAGCACTCATTTAAAACAAAAAATTAAAACATTTAAAACAATCATAGTTGTCTCTGTCCTGTTTCTAAAAGAGAAATATTTTAAAATATAGTTCAAAATATACATGTTCACTGGCAGAAGTCAACCTTCCCTCCTCCCTTTTTTCCCCAGCCTGGTACCTGGTAATCATTCTATATTGTGATATAAGGTTGCAAACCAATGTGAAATAATGAAATTTAATTCTTTCCCCCTTTCAGTTCTAGGAATCAGTCTTCCTATATGGGCAATAGCACTGATATCAATTGGTATATCACTAGTATTTGCTGCCTTAGTCTGGATATTTGTGTGTCCATGGATGAGAAGAAAAATAGCAAGTATGTCTTTTGTGGGGAATGAAATGCATCTGGCTTAAAATCTTATAACTCTGGATATGCTGTTATATTTTCTTACTATTACAAAATATAGTTTGATTAACTTTTTTTTTTAATTGTGATTGAGTCACTGGAACCCAAATGACCAAACAAAAGACTATGATCCAAAGTGCTTATTTATACCCAATCTTTTCTCATAATAACTTTCATTCAAATGATAAGAGTTAATGAGTGGCAGGATTCATAGTCTTTACTTGCACCCAATGTGACCTCTGATTTGTTTTTAATTCTTCAAACAGATTGTTATGTTGCATCCTAAACTGACAGTAGAACTGATTTTATTTTCAAAAATCACTTGCCTGTGGCAGGTAGAAGAAATGGTGCTTGAGGAATACAAGTCCCATCAACCCAAATTAGCTTCAAACTAGTTACATAACATTTTGGGTGCTGCTCAAAATATTTTACTTATTCATAGCATCTAAACTGCCTTGAGTTTGAGGAAGAGTGGGAGAAAGATTTAAGTTTTTGTGTTCCAACCTAGACACATGTGTTAATGGAAGCAAGTATTCTGTTTGTTAGAGGTAGATTCATTGCATGTATAAAAATTATTTATTTTTATGTGGCTTTACAACAGAGCAGAGTGCTATAGCACTGCAGTCATTTTATTGAAATGACATTGGGTACTTCTGATGTAGAATGGCTATTACATAGATAAAGAACAATCTTTAATAAAAGTTCTGTATTTAGGTCAGTTAAAGAAAGAAGGTGCATTATCAAAGATCTCTGATGAAAGCCTTGACAAAATTCAAGATGAGGATATGCCTGTCTTTAAAGAACTTCCTGGTGCCAGAGCAACTGATGAAAGTATTATTCCTCTTACTGGTTCTGTAACAGAAGAGGCTGGTGCATCAGATAATATAGCAAATGGCAGTCATCCACGTGTGCCATATGGTGAGATACCAAAAGCACAAAATGCTTTCCTTTATTTTCATGTATTTATTGTGAGCTGTTCTCTGGTACCTTGGTTATATCCATGGGTTGTATCCAGGGAAAGACTTCTGCTTGTGGAAACTCAGTTTTGGATTTAGCTTGCATAAACCATTGTATAACACATTATGATATCATTGAAACAGAGCAACTCAGAAAGGGTCTCCTGGACCATCTAGTCTGGCCCCCGGCTCCAACCGGCTCTGCTCATGACACGCCTACCATGTGCATGCCCAGCCTATCCATGAAACACCCTCACTGATGGGCTTCAACGACTTCCCATGGAAGCCCATTCCATACCCATAGGATCCATACCCTTGGGATCCTAACTGTCAGGAATTACTTCCTGGCATCCATCCCTGACTTTACTCACCTAGTTCCCCCAGACAGAGTAACTATTACAAGCAATTATTAAAACAAAACTATGACCTAGTGAAGAGAGTCCTTGGCCAGTCCAGGCCACAGCCCAGCAGACAAGTGACGATGTCAACTGCTGAGCATGGCTTTATAAGGATGCTGGCCCCACCTGTCTGCTTCCTCCTGGGCCTCTCTGGCCCTTCCTTTCCACTGCTCCGCCCCCCCCCCCCCCCCGCAAACCTTTGCCCAGCTCCTACATGGCCTTCACCAGTTCCCTGGTCCCAGTTTCTGCTGCTCCACTATTCTGCCAAGAGCCAAAAGAGCCAAATATCAATCATGGTTTCATAATTACAGGTGTTGCCCATGTTAGTCATTTTACGTGTTCTGATAGTGATTGTACATCTACCAGGTCAGGTGTGCCCAACTTTTTGGGTCATTTGGCACATTTGGAATTCTGGAAGTGCTGTGACAAAAAAGTTGTTATGGGTTGGGCTTGTCCATGTTTGCCAGGGCTGTATGGCACCAGCCTTCCTCCAAAAAATAAACTGGTGAGGCTAACAGAAAATAACTTTGCTAAGAACCCATATACTCATACAAGGCAGAGGCAGGCCCTGAGCTCCAAAGTACAAAGCCACTGTTTTGAATCCACAGTTTTCTGCTCTCTACACAAAACTAATGAGGCTCAGAGACAAATAACCTCATCAAGAAATGGCAGATCACATCTGAGTCCCCACAAAGCACAACAAAATACCCACACATAAACAAAAAATAGGGTCATACACATATGCATGCCCTAGAAAGGATCCCTCTAGAACCCTTAGGGTGTTTCTTGCTAATATCAGTTCACGTTTTACTTAGTCTTCTGGACTGCAGCCACCCACCAATTTTACTTTCTAAGAATACCTCTGGTGATTGTATGGGGCCCACAAGTATTCTTGAGAATGCAGACACACTGGAGGACAACGGGTTATTTTGTAACATGCCAGCCTCCTACTTAAAACTTTCTAAATTAAAATCCTTTAAAAATCCAGAAAGACAGGGAACCTGATGGGGGTGAAGAGAATGTCTATGGCACTAAATTTGAGACCCTAGTGCTAGTAAAAAAAACAGTTTTTCTCATACTTCTGCTTGTTTAACATTTGAAATAACCCTGTTGGTGTAAATGTAGCTGCCCAGAACACCTGCATCAGTACTTTGTTCCAATCTTTCTGATGTTAGAAATAAACCCAAAGTGAAAGAGTATGTAGTTCTGTCATGCTCTCCTCATGAATGCTCAGAGATTGCTTTGGCTTGTAACAGAGTTTTGAAAAGAACATACTTATACATTTATGTTATCCAAGTTATCTTACCAGCTACTTATGTAGTTTACTGTGGTTTCTGTTAATGATGATCCAGTTACCATCAAATTGATTTGTGATATACTAGAAACCTATAATAGTATAATCTTTTTTGGTAAAAAATTTAATGGCATCTTAAACTTAGATGTTGAATGATGTTTCATTAATATTTGAGCCTCTATATCTAACTGAAAGTGTTTTTGTATACACTAGCTTTCTTTCCTTCACTTAGGAATAATATTGGAGTAAAGCTTTAGTTTTTTTCATGCTCAACCCCAGTGACCTAATGGTTGAGTGGGGACTGAAGTCCAGCATTCTAACCAGTGAACAACGCTACTGTTGCTTATATTTTGTTACATATTAAGTTAAAATTGCTAACTTGAAATATTACAGACCCTGTGCCTCAAACTAAGAAATCTAAGTTTAAAGACAAAGCACATTGAGGAGGAAGGAAGAAAGAAAATCAGTCAAGGGAAGCGAGGGTGAATAGCTGTTAGAACAGATCAATAGGAAGGTTTCTCTTTTCCCCTGCCATGCAGATTGACTGGCTATGGCTACAGTCCAAGGAGGAGTGTTTTGACCAGGCAAGCTGTGGAAAGGTCCTTTCCATCTTCTATAAGCCACAGAATGACTGGTTGCTGCAAAATGTATGCTAGCAAATACAGATAATTGAAAAGTAATATTGCTTCAGCATTTTTGCTACCTGTCTGTCTTTGGTTACCTCTGAAAAGTAAGACTTTTCTTTGCTGTTTCAGGAAGGGCATTTTCAATGACACACAGTATGGTGAAATCACCTGTTTCCAATGGCACCTTTAATTTTGATGGTCACATGAAGAGTGATATACATGTATATCACACTGTGCACAAAGACTCAGGGTTGTACAAAGACTTACTGCACAAAATACATCTAGACCGAGGTAATGATGACAAGCCTGCACAAGAAAATAACTACAAGTTGCTACGACGCAATAACAGTTACACTTGCTACACAGCTGCCATATGTGGGATGCCAGTGCATTCTTCCTTCAAGGCTACTGACATGTCAACTCCAGAAGATAGTGAAAAGCTAGTTACAGACACAGTATCTTACTCAAAAAAAAGAGTTCGCTATGACAGCTACTCCAGCTACTGCAATGCTGTGGCAGAAGCAGAAATTGAAGCAGAAGAAGGTGGTGTGGAGATGAAATTGGCATCTGAGTTAGTTGATCCTAACCATCCCTCGGAGGATCCTGCAGAAGAAGAGAGAGATGAGAGAGACTCCTCAGAGGTCCACCTTCTTTTCCACTTTCTCCAAATTCTTACAGCTTGTTTTGGATCTTTTGCTCATGGAGGTAATGATGTTAGGTAGGTAATGAGAGCTTGCCTATGTTAATACTATAATTCAGTTTGTGAGTACTGTAATTTCTAGTAGTTGGGGATATATACAAGAAGCATTGTGGTTCATTGCAAATTCTCACTAATCCTAATATGTTTTTTAAAAAGCAATCTGCTCAAACATTTCCTTCATCTATAATTATGTACTCTTGCTACCCATTTGTGTGGGAAAAGAATATACAAATATAATCAGGTCTGAACTGTGGGTTCTGAGTTGGTTTTAGCCAGAGAACTGAAGTCTGAGCTAATTTTATTGGTATTTAGTGCTGAATTTCCTCTTTTCTCCTGCTGCGCCATTGTTTATCCATAGGAAAAGGTCACCTATAATTGCTCAGTTGTCTTCAGTGACCAAATGATTACTATTTTGCAAGCTTACCAATTTGCTATTTTTTTGTTTGTTTATAAAGAATGTTTTGAAGGACATGTTTTTGACACATAATGTCTTCCCATGTAAATTGGAAATCTGTTTTCCTTTCAAAATAACTTTCTAGGCTGGCTCCATTTTAATAGATTAAGAGCAGCTGTTGTGTTCCCCACTACTCAATTTATTTTTAGACTGAAGATTCATAAAGCTGAGTTCTTATGATAGGCTGATTTTACCTAAGTTCTTTTGCCTGCCACTAGGGCCAGTATGTGTTAGAAATCACAGACTGCATTCAGACTATTATAACTCTGCTTAATAACTCAAAATATTAATGAGACTTGGGGCTCTGCATGTAACCTTTTAATTCTCCTTTTACCTAGATGAGCAAACCACATTTTGCATATTCTAACTAGGAAATAATAGATAACAACTTCAAAACAAGACAAGATGCTAAACCATGGTTTGAAGTTGGTTTAATATGTTGGCTTGTTCTGAAGCTTTTAGTAGTTTCCTAGCTCAGATGAAACATGAAATTATAATTAATTGAAATGGTCCTTCTTTCTTTATTCCCTCTGGAAGGAGAAGAACCAAGAGGTTTTCCTGGCCAAAAGTCTTGTTCATATCCAAATTCTGAACGTATATATTGACACAAGTTACCACTAAGAGAATGCCTCAATCCTCACTTTCCCAATCCAAGTCAATAGTATGCACACTGGGTTGTGGCCCTGACTCACAGAGTGAGTTCTAATAAGCTATTGGACCTTGCAACAGAAATTGACTGTGGAATTCCAAAGTTCTATGGGAATTATATACAACTTAATACTTTCTACTTTAGGATAAATATTGATTTCTACCAATTTACAAATGTTAGACTATGGCCTGCAATTTTATGGCTCCACCCACCCAGTTCCCATTTTTAGAATTAACAGCCACATTGCCATTTCATGGGAAGGTAAATATTTTGCTAGAATATCAAGAATTTTATATATGAGTGTTTTAAGAACTCTCAAGTTTATTCCAAACTGGATGATATTAATTTGTCACAGAATTTGATTTATTGTCACAGCTAGTTTTTTTCAAATTCCTTGCCCTCAAAAAAGTGTTTCAGGTATGTATTTCTACCCAGCATCTTCTGTAATGAGAATTCATTCTACTTTTTTGTGGTTTCACTGTCCTCCCTTATCTGTAGGGGAGGAAAACACCTTTAGTAGCACAGGACAAAAGTTTTGTTGGGGGTTGAGAGATGTTTATGTTTCTGCCCACTCCAAATTCAAGATTGCGGTTTCCCTTGTTGTTTGGGCAGCATCTGTGCCAGCATGTGTTAGATGACTGGATGAAAACATGTTCAGGCTTGAAAGGATGGTTTGTGCTGGCTGTTTCTGTCTGCTTGGTTGGTTAGGGTCCTTTCCCAGCAGCCATGCCCAACCCATTGGGGATAAGGAGACTATGCAACAGGCCAGGGAACCAATGAGTACAAAACATTATTAGAGCTGGGGCATCAGGAGGATAGGAATGACTGCAGAGAGCTGCTGCTGATGATGATGATTTTTATCATTTGAAGCAGGGACTCTGGTTTTCAAAAGGTAGTGTTTTTTCAGCATTATATGTTTGTTTTACACATTGTCAGGCAGCACCATTGCCTTTTGCTCTAGTTGTGTATGTTGGCAAGGCACTTGCACTAAATATAGTCAATGCTAGTCTTTGGATCTAGGTGCCAATTTCTGGGTTCTGCGTTCTCTAGATTCCATTCTCCATTGCCAGTGTCCTGAGAAAGGTTTGGTTTGTTGACTCATTAAACTTGAACAATTGTGTTAGGCCATTTATGTTCTAGTAATCAACCAATTCTTGTTTTTTAGCTTTAAGTAGCAGATAGCATAGACATTGCAACAGCATATAATGGCCACGTAATATTCTTTCTATCTTTGGTTAGCAATGTTAGTGTTCTTGCTGTGATCCTGTGCTTTGGAAGTCAGTGTGTTAAAGGGTTGTTTTCTTACAGCGTATGCCAGTGGTGTCCAACCATTGGTCCATGGACCAGCACCAGTCCATAGGAGATTTCTTGGTGGTCCATTGTGGGGGGGGGGGCACATCCCACTTGCCACAGACCAGTGTGGGGACTGGCTGTGCCCCACCACTTCTTCCTCAGTTGGCATTGCATTAGTGGGGGTGTGCCAGTGCTGGTGGTAGGGCCAGGGAGGGAAGAGACAGCTGGCTGGGAGCCATGCTATGCCGGTTTCAGTATTTTGTTCTTTTGTTGGCATTTTTTGTTGCTCCTTTTCTGGTTGTTTTGGAGAATTTTCTTTTTTTGATATTGTGTTTGGAAGCTACTACATGAATACTGTATTATGTGTATGGTGCTTTTTTGTTTCTGCTTCATTGGTTCCCAAGGTGGTTTTCCTATTTTCATGGGTTCTCAGCTGAGGAAAGGTTGAAAACCACTGTTGTTATACCATGTACCACTTTTAGAAGAAGTTAAAAGATAAAATGTGCTCAGCTCTGGCTTTATGTAAGGCAGTCCAGACCAAAACAAAATGCTTCTGAAACATTACTTTTTGGGCTGCAGACCCACAGATAATTAGGCAAGTCACTAAGAAGCAAATGCACACCTTTTGTATTAGGATGTTAAGAATTAAGCTAGCAGGTTAATTAAAATAGTGATTCTAAGGATGATCTCATGCATTTATTGAGGCATACCGTGTCTGTGGCAGAGGGTACATTTAGACTTATAGAAGAGTAGAATTGGAAGAGGCTGATAAGGCCATCAGGTCCAACCCCTGCTGAGCATAGAACTCTAAATTAAAGCATTCCTAACAGATGGCTGTTCTCTTACATGTTGAATGTGTCCAGTGGGGGAAAGCCCATTTCCTAATTGGTTCCATTGTCATATTGCTCTGACAGTCAAGACATGTTTCCTGATGTTGAGCTGGAATTTGGCTTCCTAGAACTTGAGTCCATTATCCTGTGTCCTACAGTCTGGGATGATCAAGAGGAGATCCTTGCCCTCCTCTGTGTGACCACCTTCCAATTATTTGAAGAGTTCTATCATATCTCACCTCAGCCTTCTTTTTTCAAGGGATAACATGAACAGTTCTTTCAGTGTCTCCTTATAGGACTTTGTTTCTAATCCCTGGATCATCCTTCTTTCCCTCTTCTGAACCTGTTCCATTTTGTCTACATCTTTCTTAAATTGTAGTACTCAGAACTGGACACAGGATTCAAGATGAGGCTTAACTAGTGCTGTGCAGAAGGCAACTAGTACTTCATTTAGGACACCCAAAATACCCCTTGCCATTTTGCAGCCACATCTAGGAAGTTACAGCCCATCTTGGCTTTCTGAATGTTTGTATAGCATACATTTATTTCAAAATATGTCAGGCATTACACATTATATTTTTAGGTGTATTTCTAAGCACGTAATCTGCGAGAGTGTCTGAGAAAAATGATAACGGAAAATATGTAAGCAAGGTATGAACAAATAACCAGCCTTTGTTATACTCTAATGCCTCCCCTCACCTTAAAGCAGAACTTTAAAAAACAGCTTCACATACTGTAGCCAGAAAAATCCATTTTACATAAAGCACAGCTTTGGGACAAAATGCATAGATGTTCTGCAGACATCTCCTGGGTATTATATTGACAATATGTAAGGAAGAGGGCTGTGTTGAATGTTCTGAATTGTTTGAATGCAGTGTTCCTTATCTTAACCATGGTTCACAAATCCAATGGAGATAGATTAATCTAAACAGGCACGCTTTTGGGCACACTGGTCAAATGGAAAAACCTGGGCATAGCCACAGAATGGCTGCCATGGGAGAGACTGGCTAATAAGGAAAAATAATCTGTCTAAAGTAGTGATGGAATAGGTGCTCCAACACATTTTTTAAAAAATCTCCTTAGCCCACAGTTTTTCAATAGAAACATATTTCAAACAAGGTACTTTTTTTCTTTCTCACCTTCTCTGCCATCAAACATATTCTCTATGGTGAAGCCATGGTGTGCAATTCTATAAATGGAGTAGACCCACATATATCCAAATAATATCCCATGACCTTACAGATGCATGTCTTGCAATATAGGAATGACATATGGAAGTCACTTGTAAGCCAGCATTCATTCATTCAAAACATATGCTGCCCAATTGTGCCACAGCACCTCTGGGTGGTTCACAACCACAAGATAAAAACACAATAAAACATAATAAAACCAATAACGCATTAAAAACAACAATAAAACACAGCAGAACATACAAAATAGCGGTCTATGGCAATTAGTTATTGAAATATTTTTTTAAAAAAAGGAAGGTTTTTGCCTGGTGCCGAAAAGAAAGTAAGGAAGGCACCAAGCGAATCTCCTTGGGGGAGAGCATTCCAAATATGGGGAGCAGCTGTGGAAAAGGCCCTCCTAGTGGCCATCCCTCTCGCCTCCTCAAGGGATGCCTCATACAGAAGGGCCCCCTGCGTAGATGTCAAAGGCCAGGTGGGCACGTATGGATGCAGGCACTCCCTAAGATAACTGGGGCCTAAGCCATTTAGGGCTTTATACATCAACACAAGCACCTTGAATTGGGCCAAGGCCACAATTAGTAACCAATGAAGATCTTTCAGTGTAGGTGTTACGTGGGCCGCTCTAGGGGCTCTTGTCACCAACTGAGTGGCCCTATTCTGTACCAATTGTAACTGCCGGACCATCTTCAAGGACACCCTCACATAGGGCACATTGCAGTAATCTATTTTGAATGCTGCCAGTGCATGGGTGATTGTTTTCAGGCTCTGTCTGTCCAGGTAGGGACAAAGTGGTGTATCCTCCATAGCTGGAGGAAAGCACCCCTAGACACCAAGCCCACCTGATATTCCAGGGACAAACCCAGGTCCAGGAGCACCCCCAGACTGTGGCCCACTGCAACCCTATGAAGGACAGGGCAGTGCCCCTCCAACCTGTCAGATGATCTCCCTACTAGCAGCACCTCTGTCTTGTCAGGATTGAACCTCAGTTTATTGATCCTCATCCAGTCCATTATCAAACTCAGACCTCAGTTCAAGATGGCAACAACCTCACCTGGATGAGACATAAAAGAGAGGTAGAGCTGAGTATCATCAGCATATTGCTGAGTCCTCAGCCCAGACCTCCAGATGATCTCCCAGTGGCTTCATATAGATGTTAAAAAGCATGGGGGACAGCACTGAGCCCTGAGGTACCCCATGACACAACCGCCATGGCACAGAGGAATAGTCCCCCAGGACTACCTTCTGGACTCAGCCATGTAGAAGCAGAACCACTGCAAAGCAGTGCCACCAACCTGTCCAGAAGGACACCGTGGTTGATGGTGTTGAAGCCGGCTGAGAGGTCAAGGAGAACCAACAGGGTCACACTGTCCCTGTTTCTGTCCCTGCACAGGTCATCATACAGGATGATCAAGGCTGTCTCCATTTCAAACCCAGGCTTAAAGCCCAATTGAAATGGATCCAGATAATCCGTGTCTTCCAAGAGTTCCCGAAGTTGTCTGGGCACCACCCGTTCCAGCACCTTGCCCAAAAAGGGAAAATTAACAATGGGCCAGTAATTAACCAGTACCCCTGGATCCAGGCCTGGCCTTTTAAAGAGTAGTCTACTGCCTTCTTTAAAAGGGCAGGGACCACTCCCTCTTTTAATGAAGTGATGACAGCATCCTGGACCCAGGGCCAAACCCCGTCAGATCTCCCAATCAACCAAGATGGGCAAGGATCAAGAAGGCACATGGTGAATCGGACAAAGCCAAGCACCTTGTCCACATCCTCAGGTCTCAATAACTGAAACTCATCCAATAATGGACCATTAAATGGTGCACTGGACACATCCAAAGATTGCACTGCATGAATGGTAGAGTCATGCTCTGGCAGCAGGTGGTGTGCCAGCAAGCAGCCAGGAGGCAGCAGCAAGGCCTTTTGAGCCTGCTGGAAATAAAGGCCCTGGACTGGAAGGCCCCACCTCACAGCAGCCAGCTGGAATGGAGGGCTGATAGTGTCCCTCCCCCCCCCGCTCTTTGCTGCTGTCTCCCACTCAGCAGCTACAGGTGAGGAAGGCAGTCAGGTGAGGTTGGAGGTGCAGCAGCATTTCATGAAGGCCATAGTACCTTCAGTGTAATTGTTTATTTCAAAGTAATATCTTTTGATTTCAGTGTATTTTTAAAAGGATTCCTGCCCACCCTTCAGTTCCATTAATTTTGAAAGTTGCTTAGAAGCTAATATGAAAACTTGTTTTAAAAAGTTTTAAAATCATTATCTGTACCTAAACTTGCTTGAGCTCATGTGGCAGCAGTATGGGTGTAAATATGGGGGAGACTGTACTCCATGTTGTTTTGACCATTCTGATTTTGGATATGGAGGGAGTAT